AAAATAACATTTTTGCGCAGGGGCCATACATTGTTATGTAATCAAGACTGAAAATTCTTTAAATTTTATGTTGATTTACTAATTTTGATTAAAGTTACTGAGCGTTTATTATTTTTACTGTGCAAATTGGATTTTTTTACTGAACAAATTACAATAAAATACTGTGCTTGCTTTACTTAGTATTTATTATTTTTACTGTGCAAAATAATATATTATACCGATCATTTTTAATTTTTTACTGTGCAAAAATTAAGCGCTTTATTAAATCTACCCAAAAATATCATTCAGTAATCACATTGACTGAATAAAACTCCGAAACAAAATATTTTGAGATTATTTTTGAAAAATAACAGTTATTTGTACGGTAGAAGGCCAGTGGTAGGTGCAACTACTCCAAACTGCATCAATTAGGCTGTTTAAAATTTTAATAAAAATCCATCCTCGCAAAAATAAAAAATAGAGACGGTGAAGGCACTGGAAAGCATCCGCATCCAACGTCCTACCCGTTTGGACAGAGCTCGCTTGTTCGTAAGCAATGCTCCGTACAAATTGCACTTCTTTGATGATAACTCACTAAAAGCTAATTGCTCTGCGTTGATTTGTAAACTGTTTTTGCTCCCATGTTTTCCGCAATGTGAAATAACCGCTGATTTATAGCCGTCCGCAGTCAATTTAAATAAATATCGCCACTAGATTGGGACAATTACAAATGGGAACAAATTAAATGCATTAAACAGCAAGTATTTTCGATCAGTAAAAATAATAAGTGCACAGTAAAAATAATAATTGCACAATAAAATAATAAATCCACAGTAAAAATAATAAATGCACAATAAAATAATAAATAATAAATGCACAGTAAAAATAATAAATGCACAGCAAAAATAATAAATGCACAGTAAAAATAATAAATGCTCAATAAAAATAATAAATGCCTAGCAAAATAATAAATGCACAGTAAAATAATAAATGCACAGTAAAATAATAAATACACACTAAAATAATAAATGCACATTAAAAATAATAAATGCACAGTAAAATAATAAAAGCACACAAGGACAATGAATAAATGTCTAGCAAAACTAATTAATTTAATGTTCACAGATTTATTTACAAACAAAATATTTCTTAGCAAAATCGGAATATAGAAAAGCGTTCAAAAACAAAATTGTGTTATCAGAAGCACAGCAGTGCAAAGAGTGGCGTACGTTGATTAGACTGATTACCATTTGTGCACAGTTTCCAGCCCTTGCTAAAATCATTCTTGCGCAGGGGCCCTTGCTAATACATATACCACCCTCCAATAATAATAAATATTCAGTAATGTAAAAATAAATACCATTCTTGCGCAAAGGCCATACATTGTTATGTAACCAAGACTGAAAATTCTTTAAATTTTATGTTGTTTTACTAATTTTGATTAAAGTTACTGAGCGTTTATTATTTTTACTGTGCAAATTGTATTTTTTACTGAACAAATTACAATAAAATACTGTGCGTGCTTTATTTAGCATTTATTATTTTTATTGTGCAAAATGTTATATTATACTGATCGTTTTTAATTTTTTACTGTGAAAAAATTTTAAATTACTGATCATTTATCATTTTACACTGATCAAAATTGAGTTATTTACTGATCGCTTATTACAAATGAAGAGATATTATTTATTGGATAAATTTTCCAGAAGAATTCCAGGAATTTGGCCACCCCAATCTTTGATTAAGTATTCAACACTCATAAATGTAGAAAATGACTTGATGAAGTGACATGAAAGCTATAGGGTCAAGAGTGTGGGTTCACTCGAGTTCCTGGATTGTTTACATGGCGGTGTTTTGACTGATGCGAAGTTGTAAGAGTTGAAATGACTTTCAGATTTAAACTCGATTCGAGTTTCCTCCCATAATGACTGACATCATGTTAAAACCGACCCCACAAAACCAAAAATTCGTTGATTATTGTTATAAGTTACAAAAAACAGAACCTTTTAGCGTTATTTACAAACGAAATGTTAAACCTGACGTTAATAGGCGACCCAATTTGTAAAAGTTTCACATTTTTATTACTTCTGGAACACTAAATCATTCCTCAGATTATTTCTTATTTTCTTCTTGTTGACTTTCGTGCAGGTGATCATCGCACGTGTGTGAACAGTCAACAAAATTATCAAAGAAAATGCTTTGCTCAGCTTTAAAAAAATTGTTATTGCTGATATTTCCTCGCATTGTGTGTATATTTTATTAAGATAATCTGTCGTCAGTTTTACGCACATGAGCTTTCGATTTTATAGTTGGAAGCTTAACGATTTTAAGGGTTTTTCTAAACTTTCCTAAGTGCTGCCCTTTAATGTGGATTCCAGATACGGCAATTACTTGTCAAACTTGTTAACGACATTTTTATGGTATAAATAACAAAAGTCATGTTAATATCCCCATAAACCAGCGCTGGAGCAACAAATAATTACGTAATTATCAAGTGCTACTGTTAAATGCTTTTAAATTTGTTGGTGCCAAAGGATTATTAATCAGTCGAGAAGCACAATTTCGCGCGACGAAAATACACTCACACCACCTGTTTTAAACGATATTTGAGCTTTTATTTAAATGGGTGGGTTGTGCTGGTCTTACTCACACTAAGGTGACCGGATTTATTTTCTCTAAAGGATCGAATTCGCATCGGTTTTATGTCACGACCCTTGAAAATTATGACACTTTGACGCCACTGACTGGCAGTGACAGACACGAGGGGTGACGGTAACCAACAATGGACCCGCCTAAAAATTATCAAAAAATATCACATTTTTTTAAGTGTATTGCAACCTAAAATCCCTAACAAATATTTAAAAAATTTCAGTTAAAAATCAGTCTAATATCGGAAGAAGCCATCATTATTTTAATAATGTCTCAGCGAGTTGGTAAAGTCTATTATTTAGCTTTAAATTATACAGAGTGCGTCAGAACTCGCGCCCCAGAGAAAAATACCATGTAAGGTAAGATACCAGGAACATGAAAAAAATGTTAAAAAATTCTACCTATAAAAATCTCGAAGTTATGAGTTTAAATTTTGCACTTTGACTCTATTTATTTCTGTTGGAAAAATAATTTTCCAAGTTTTTTTGCTACACGCTATTAGAGGAGGATACAAGGAAGCTCTATCCTATATTGTAACTCTCTTTAATGTTATTTGTGGCTTTTACTAGCAATTTTTTTTACTTTTACAAAATAATTATAAAAAAAACATACAATATCATCAAAAAATTACTTTTTGAAAATATGCATGAATGTTTGTAAATCTAGTGCTGAATACAGCTTGGGAGTATTAACTTTTCAATAATGCAATTAATTTGAGATTAGTAAAATTAAACTATGCAAAAGCTAAATAAATGGTCTCAAAAATTAGTCAGTATTGGTTTTTGATTTTTGTCATTTTCAAAAATATCAAAAAATCTTTTTTTAATTCTTTTATTAATTTTTTTCAACTACTTATTGGATCCTCTTGGTATGGAAACGATGAACAAAAACACGATTAAGCCCGCCACATCAAACGTTTTTTCTCACCTGAGGATGACTATTTTGTGGTGAAACGCGTTGTATTTGAAAGAAAAGTTTGGTGTGACGGGTTTAATCGTGTTTTTGTTCATATTTTTTTTCAAATTTAACATGCAAATTGTAGAAAAAAGTGAAAAAAACTGCTTCAGAAACAACTAATTCTTTTAATTAATAATGTATTGGGCATACAATTAGGCTATATAAAAACCTAATGTCATATTTAGTTTCCCATCAATATTCCTGAATACTACAACAACAAAATGTTACTTTTTTCTTTTTTCTTTAAATTAGTGTTGTAAGTAAATTTTTTTTTTCAAAAAATTGTAAAAACATCTTACAGAAAATGTATTCTAGTTTTTGAAACTGTCCTTACATTGTCTGTGCGGTCAGTGGTTGCTGAGATATCAATGATCAAAGACAAAAAATTTTTTTTTCATTAAAAGTCATATATCTCAGCGACAAATCGACGGAAAGAGAATTTAAAAAAAGCAAATTAAAGCGAAATGAACAAGCTATCCAGCTCATGTATTGATTTAATTAAAAAAAATCTCCAAGTCTGTGAATCAAAAAAAGAATAAAAAAAATACATTTTTTTCTGGCGCTATTTCTTAAGTTTACGTAATAACAGTAACTTTTTATAAAAGATTTTCGAGTCTAGAAACTTGAAGCTTTTAAATGGATTTTTTAAATATAAATACGACCATTTTTCATTGGAGTACATTATTTCAAAAATCATCAAAAAATTTAAGAAATTTTTTTGTTCTCTAAATGTTTTGTCGTTTTGAAAAATAGAATAACGTAAACGATGGATTTGATCTATTTTCTCGAAGGGGAAAATAGAAAAATAAGTTACGGTGGATAATTGTTTTTTATTAGGTATATTTTTTTTATTTTGTGACCTATTTGGAAATTTTGTTGTTTTCTAATTTTTTTGGAGTAATAAAAGGTTTACGAAAATATTTTGTCGTTTTGAAGTTTTTGAGATAATAAGAATTTTTTTTCAAGGAGTTTTTCACTAAAGAGCTTAATTTTGAATTAATTTGAAAAATAGAAAAACAAAATAGAATAACGTAAACGATGAATTTGATCTATTTTCTCGAAGGGGAAAATAGAAAAATAAGTTACGGTGGATAATTGTTTTTAATTAGGTATATTTTTTGCTTTTTTTTTTTTTTAAATAGGAATTATTTTTGTACTTGAACATCTATTCCCACTAGGATGGCAAATATTACTTAAGCTTTACCCTTCTATAGTAAACATCGTCCATGGACCGATTTCTTCAGAAATGTTACATTTGAGATAAGAGTATGCAATATTTTTGTTTACTATATAAAAGAACGTTTTTTCTGTTCCCTTCTTTATTCACAATGTGGGAAAAAATCGATTCGTGACCCTTTACGGTCAATTTTTTTTCCCAGAGACAAGATTAAATAAAACTGGTTATTTATATTTGAAATGTTTATTTGGATATAAAGGACTCTATGTAATTAACTTATTTTATACAAAAATATTCGGGTCTAAGGCACTTATTAGTACAAAATACACTTAAAACAGCGCATTAAATGGTTGAAAACAAAACCTAGACTAAGTTTGGCTTACATAAACATTTCTCTTGGTTTTGATTAAATGAATTTCTTTGGCTTCAAGAGAAACATTTCTTCTACTATAATAATAAAATATTGTAAGTACTTACATAAAAATAAAACACAATAAAGCAAGTAATAAAATATAAATAGTACTTAAATATCACGTTTTCGAGAAAATTTCAGTCAAACTACAACGTGTAATGTCCCCATGGTTCAGGATTACTCTCATTGTAACTCAATGAAGAGTTTCCAAAAACAGGCCTTTGAGGCAAATACTGGTACGAAGGTAAATACTGATGACCACTACTCGTGTAATAAGTGGAAGTCGACCCAATGGGCACTCCCGACTGATAACTATACACCACTGAAGCATTTGGTGAAACAAATCTTTCAGCTTTTACCACGGAACTCGGCTGAAGCTCATGGTACCTCCCAGTGGCCTCTTCGTAGGTTTCCTGGTGCGAAACATTCTCGGTGCATAACCTCTTATTTTTATAATTATTGTTAGTCTCTTCCTCCGTTGGATGTTTGGTGTAGTAAGGTTGGTACGACTGGCTGCTTTCTGAGGGGAAGTACTGGTCCAAGTCGCTGCTGTCGATGCAGTCTTCCGGTATGTAGCTATTGTCTATTTCCGGGAGGCGGTTGAAGTCCAAATTGTGCTGTTCCAGACAGGACCGGAGCGTCTGGGACTGGATGGCGGGACTCTGGGGTTGGGAGGAACAAGTGGATGGAGATGTGGAACTGTGGCTTCGGGGACTGCAAGGGGAGTCTTCCTGTTTGAGGGAACGGGAGAAAGTGACGTTTTGGCCGTGGGGTAATTGGAGCATGGAGTCCCCAGGGCTTTTGTTCTGTTTTCTTCGGCGAGGTTGGTATTTGTAGTCCGGGTGTTCGCGCTTGTGGATCACCCGGAGTCTTTCGGCTTCTTCGATGAAGGGTTTCTTGTCCACGTCGCTCAGGAGTCTGGAACAAAATTTCAGGTTTTGAAAACTACTGAAACCAGTTTTTGTTCATTTTGTGCTAATTTTTTCGAAATTTTATAAAAATATTTAGTACTGTTAAAATCAAAATAAGAAAATTTGCCGAAAAGCGGTAAATAAATATGTAATTTTTTTTGTAAAATTTGATGTGAAAAAATTTTGGGAAAATAAACGTTTAATTTTTTTCGTATTTTAATGGTTGTTGCGTCTAAAATTTGACTCCATTAAAATTACTCTTTAAAATTATTGTATACAGTATGTCCCCGTATTGAGTTTACAAGACGAAAATTTTTTATCTTTGATTTTACGCAAAAACATTTTTTGCTTCACCTGAAACGAGAAAATCTGTAATTAAAACTTCATTATTCTGATTCAGTGAAAAGAAAAATAATTTTTTCTCTTGATTTTGGATTTTTTCTGTGCTTTTTAAGTCCTACCATGTTGACGGTTTTATTTATTTGACAACTATATGCACTTTGACAATTAATTTATTAATTAAATAATGATAGTTCTTGTTAAAAATGACTTTGGTTTTTATTTTAAAGCTATTTCTTTGAATTGCTATTATTAAAATTATGTTTTTCACAAACATTTTTGTTATTTAACTTATTGTCAAAAAAATAAAACCGCCAATGTGATAGGACTTGAAAAACAGAGAAAAATTATTCCAAATTAGTCCAAAATCAAGAGAAAAATTAACTTTTCTTTCTTCTGAGAAGAATAATGAAGTTTTAATTACAGATTTGCTCGTTTCAGGTAAAGCAAAAAATGTTTTTCCTTTGCGGTTTTGGCCTAAAATCAAAGATAAAAATTTTTTCCTTTTATTATTTCTCGAATAAAATAATAGTATCTCAGGGAGATAGATTTTTCTTTCTGAATTAATGCAATTTCTTGTTAAATGTTGGTGAATTGTGTTGGGGAAATTCATCTCTGATTAGTCGTTTAAACTTCAACAAAAATGTCTTGGCAATCCATTTTCTATTTTTAGTTTTTCGCGTCTGACACAAAAACGATAAACAAATATGTAAATTGTTTTTTTTTTTGTAAAATTAGATGTGAAAAAATTTGGGGAAAATAAACGTTTAATTTTTTTCGTATTTTATTTAATGGTTGTTTAAGGCCTGCGTCTAAAATTTGACTCCCATTAAAATTACTCTTTAAAATTATTATACAGTATGTCCCCGGATTGAGTTTACAAGGGGAATAGTTATTTACTATACAAGACGATAAAATTGAATTTTATCGTTGAGAGCAATTTAATATGCTCGAAAAGATAATGAAAATTTTATCGTCGTGTACAATATAAAATTTTATTCAATCCTCACTAATTTTGTAGTCAATTTGGTCGATATTTATAAATGTCAATGTAAAATTCAACAATGAAAACCAACAACCGCAAATATACAACAATGGATGAATTTTTTATCATCTAAAGAATCTAGACGATAAAATTTCATTTTAACATGAAGAAAAGAGTAGATAAAATTCAATTTTAATATAGAGGATTGAATAAAAAAAATATCTTTGATTTTAGGCCAAAACTGCAAAGGAAAATATTTTTTGCTTAACCTGAAACGAGCAAATCTGTAATTAAAACTTCATTATTCTAATTCAGTGAAAAGAAAAACTAATTTAAAAATTAATGTAAAAATAAAAAATATACTCTTTGAAATCAAACTTATTTGAAACTGAAAATTTTATTAAAGAGTTCGATTTTTACTTTAACTTAAAAATACAATAAATAAAATAAAATTGAAAAGATTGAATATTATTGCCAGTGCAAAAGTAAGGATTTATTTCCAGAACTTGGCATTAAAATTGGTCATTTCATCACTTTAGTTACACTGCTTCAAAACCTATTATTTTATTTTTTTTTTAATTATTTGATGCAGATTTGCCATGAATTAAAAAAAATTGATTTTTAAAAAATATGTCCCTTTTGCGAAAACTCTTTCTGTGAAAAATAAAAACAGTCTAGGAGTTTCAATGTTACTATTTTTGCCACTAAACACCAAAAATTTGTTCCAAATTTCCAAAATTGCGATAGGATGTTTTTAATACTTGTGTAGACATTTGTTAGAAAATTCGTCAAATGAATGCAATATAAACAAAGTTTGCATCTTTTAAGTTACCGAAGTTTACATAATAACGAAATTCGACAGTATCTTCTACGAAAAAATTGAATGCAAAATATTACTTATTAAGTGAGTGAAACAACTCTACAACAATATAAAAAAATATTTTTTGCTTCACTTGAAACGAGAAAATCTGTAATTAAAACTTCGTTATTCTGATTCAGTGAAAAGAAAAATTAATTTTTGTCTTGATTTTGGACTTTATGTCACTTTGACAATTAATCTATTAATTAAATAATGATAGTTCTTGTTAAAATGACTTTGGTTTTTATTTTAAAGCTATATTAAAATTATGTTTGTCACAAATATTTTTGTTATTCAACTCATTTGTCAAAGTGACATCATTGTCGAAAAAATAAAACCGTCAATGTGATAGGACTTAAAAAGCAGAGAAAAATTATTCCAAATTAGTCCAAAATCAAGAGAAAAATGCACTTTTCTTTCTACTGAGTTAGAATAATGAAGTTTTAATAACAGATTTGCTTGTTTCAGGTAAAGCAAAAAATGTTTTTCGGCGTAAAATCAAAGATAATTTTTTTTTCCTCTTGTAAACTCAATCCGGGAACATACTGTGGAATATTGAAGAAACTTTAACTTTGAAGTATCATTAATTTTGCAATTTTTGTCGCCAAATCAGTTGGTATGGACGTTTTTTGGGCAATAATTAGTTAGTTTCTTGTTTACAAAAATCAATCTTTTTTGAAGTTGTGTTAAATAAACAAATATTATACCTAACTAACAGGAAATCCGAGTTAAAACTTATCTGTTTTCGAACTGATATGGTTGAAATTTTATAAAAGTTGCTACCCTCTATATTTACTATAAGTTCCCCTTACGAGTATATTCCTTAATCTTTGTTTGTATGTTGTAAAATAAACTTGGACTATTATTTCACCTGGTAAAATGGGTCATATCAGAATTGCGTCTCTGCAATCGTAGTTTTTATGTCAAGTAAATATTTTCACTTTTCCTTCAGAAAACGATGAATCATGGGAAATTATCCGTAAAAAATTTCGCTTTTTTCGTTTCGTGGTCTCAACCAAATTTTTTCTGATAAACTTCTAAAATGTTTTTTATAAACACTTGTGGAACAGACGTTTCTAATTAAAAAGTTGGGGTATACTAGAAATTTGAAAAGTGGATTAATAACACCAGTTGAAAAATATTTATGTTAGATAGGAGTACTTGACAATTCCTAATTTCAAGGAATATGATATTTGGGTACATATTTGTATGTAATTTTTATTTTTGTATAAAAACTAAACAAACTATGTGCAGCTGCTTTAAGTCAATTCTGGAATTTTTAAGAAAACGTGACAAAAACGTTTAAATGCTTGTTTTTGTCTTATGTACTTTTATTATATTTTTGATGTACGTTTTTGCAATAAACGAATTTAAAAAAATATGTATTACATTAGCTTTTAAGTTTTCAAGTTATTTTCAAGAAGAAATCTCCGCCCACGGAAAGGGCTACACAAAACGATTGTTGTCTTTTCTAAAATTTTAACTAATTCTATTATTTTTGAGTACGCTGATCACTTCGTTTTCTTATATCACACACCATTTAAAAAAAATTATAACAAAAATACGTTTAACTCGACTACCATATAAAACAAGATTTGGAATTTCATTTCATAATTTCATTGTTTTGTCCAAATTAATTCCTGTAATTTCAACTTAATTCTAATTTAATTTTTGATGGATTATTGGAATTAGTGGAATTACGGTGCAATTTTTTTGGAATTGGAATTAGTTGTTCACTTTTTTTTTTTGGTCTTAAAGTGTTTAAATTCTGGATAACTTATTCTCAAAATAGTTATTTTTGTTACAAGAGTTTAAAATATTCATCTGCCCTTCCGGACGAGGCGAAGCCGAGGTACAGTAACGATTCGTCCGTAAAAACTTATTACTTGTCAGAAATAACATTTTTTTGTTGAAGCTCCCAAAAAATAGTTAAAATAACTGATTTACATACATACTAATTTTATTGAGTCCTAAAAAAACTCTTTCTTATTTTGTCAATTTCGACTAGACTAAATGCAAAACGGAAGTTATAGTCGAGTAGATGATACATTTTGGATACTTTTGACTTTACTAGCAACTTTCTCAAAAACTAATTCTCGTAGAACAATGATTTTTTTATTATAATTTAGAAAATTAAAGGAATTAAAGGGCTACCACCAACAATTTCAGAGCTCCGGGTACCAAAAATCTACAAAACAAGATTTTTACATTACTGTAGGTCCTCCAGACTCAAAACAGTGTTTATAGGTAGTATTTTATTGAGTCCAAAAAAATTAATTTTAGGAATCTAAAATAAATCAGTTTTTTGTAGAGATTCTCAAAAATAAAAACACCAGGTACTTTTATATTATCCGGTACTTTTAAATTGTTAAAATAATTAAAATGTCGGAAGTTAATTATGTAGTTTGAATAAAGTTTTTTTTTTTATATAAAAACCACTTTTTATTTACAGGACCAAAAAAGTTGTAGTGTTATTTTTCCATTTCAAGCGCAACCAGGAACCAAGCGTTGCAAAATCTCTAGAAACACCAAGATTAAGTAACAGCTGTCGCTCTGATTGATTTAAATCAGTGGTGAAGACTTAATCATTAATAAAGTTGTCTAGGAATTGGTCAGTTGTGCAATTTCGGTGCAAATCCAAGCATTTGGGGAGATATAGTTCATCGTTCCAGTCATGGTTTGTAATGATTTGAAGCGTCTATCTTTGACGATCGACCAAATTAATATCCGTGGCACATTACACAGCATCGGCGGCGACTTTGAGTGTGCCCCCCGTAGAGTTTGGTTGCGCTGATTGCGCTCACACACGCCGTCTCAACGACACGCTCCACCCAGGGGTTTGTCATACAATCTTCGGCGATTTCACTTAGATTCTGGTCATGGGAACTAGCAAATTCCATCGCAAGACCAGAGAAAACTGTACCAAAACAAGTCCCAAAAATTACAACCTTTAAATTACTTTTTGCCCATTTCTTCAAAATTTTCATAATTTTTAAAATTGGGTAAAAAATAGAGTCGTTGCATCCATCGGAGTTTTTGTCTTTTTTGCTTTCATACATTGACATAAAAATGTAAAACGGGCATTAGGCAACTAACCCCACTTTCGGTTTTTGTAATTTTTATCCCGAGAGTTAGAGAAAAATGACAACAAACCAAAATAATTTATTGAACTTGGCAATCTTTCAAACGTCAATCATAATGACAATAAAGCGTGGCTTACTTTGAACTGTCATAAATTTGATGTCCAAAGTTCTGTGTCCGCCACTGTACGTTAGAGATTATTTTACAAAAAAAAGCGATTTGATATATATTTTTTTGTACTAAATTAAGATTTCAAAAAAAAAAAACAAAACTTGAGTCAATTATTTTTTAATAAAGATTCAGAATATGCAATAAAAATATGTGCAACAACCCAATTATCGGGCAAAAAAATTACAAAAAAATTGTTTTTTTTACCAGAGTGACTGTATTTTATTGCATCAAAACTTATTGTTTGAGTTGGCAATACTGAATTTTCTTTTGCTAGATGGTGGTAGATGGCATTGACAATCTCAACAAAATGAGAAAACATGTCAAAATTTTAGTTTTTTTGACAAAACTCTCAATAATTTTCAGGTACATTCAAGTTTTTTTTTTCAAAATTGTGGCTAAGATTTTCTCATTTTTTTTCAAATTGGCAAGTATTGTAGCAAGTTATTTTCTGTGAGACTTATATTGATCCCAGAAGATTATTTTTAATACTTGTCACTCTTTTTGACAAAACTCTCAATAATTTTCAGGTACATCCAAGTTTTTTTTTTCAAAATTGTTGCTCAGATTTTCTCAATTTTTTTTGTCAAATTGACAAGTATTGTAGCAAGTTATTTTGTGCGAGACTTATATTGATCTCAGAAGGTTATTTTTAACACTTGTCACTCTTTTTGACAAAACTCTCAATAATTTTCAGGTACATTCAAGTTTTTTTTTTCAAAATTGTGGCTAATATTTTGTCATTTTTTTTCAAATTGACAAGTATTGTAGCAAGTTGTTTTCTGTGAGACTTATATTGATCTCAGAAGATTATTTTTAACACTTGTCAGTCTTTTTGACAAAACTCTCAATACATTTCAGGTACATCGCAAGTTTTTTTTTTTTCAAAATTGTTGCTCAGATTTTCTCAATATTTTTTTTAATTGGGAAGTATTGTAACAAGTTATTTTCTGTGAGACTTATATTGATCTCAAAAGATTATTTTTAACACTTGTCACTCTTTTTGACAAAACTCTCAATAATTTTCAGGTACATCCAAGTTTTTTTTTTCAAAATTGTTGCTCAGATT